TATACATATATATATATATGTATGTATGTATGTATGTATGTATGTGTGTGTGTGTGTGTGTGTGTGTATATATAAATGACAGATTCCCTTGCTTCCACTGAAGCACAAAAGTATTTCAGAAATCAGCTTTAATTATAAATTGTGAATTAACTGTATTAAAATATATTTTTCCAAGATGAACACAAGTCAGTATAATACATGACCCGTATATACGTGACATAATATATGAAGAGAGACCTCACAATAATTAAACAAAAACTCATTAATACATGCTTCTTTTGTACCCACCATCTTCATTGAAAAACTTTTCCACAGGCTGAACAAGTTGGTTTATTTCCTCTAATTCTTCATTACGGATTTCTGGGTAGGGAAAGACTTCAGCCTAAAAGATGTATATATATATATATAATTTTAATGTACAGTAACAATGCAGTCTTATCCAGAGTATTTAACCAAAAAGAAAACCATCCACTGTAATAACTATAAATATTATGAACATTATCATCGCTATTATTGATTATAAGACTCTTTGACCTTGCTCAAGTGGTGTTATATTTTAATAGCTATGTCAGTTATGTACACACAATAAAGCAACAATTTATTCTGTAGTTTGTTGACATTACCTTGTTTACTTTGCCCAGGAACAGATCTTTGGCATATGCCAAACTCCTCGCACTGGATCTAATGAAGCGTCGCGACTGAAAGTGATGCAGACAAGCTCCTCGTGCAGCAAACACATTTCTCCCAAGTTTGACCGATCTTGACAAAACAATAAGTTTGTTCAGGTTCATCTTCAAGGTAGATACTCACCCCAATCACCCATACAACTGAATGAAACACCTTTCACCCATTTTTCGTCTCACATTGATGACGACACGAGTCGGTTTGGTTGCAGTTCATTTCGTGCCCTGCAGATGTCAGTGTTTAGCTGCACTACACAAATTATTAATTTCAATGCTGAGTGAAAACATTGATCGTCGTCAATTCTCTCTGGCCTCTGATTTCATCACAGTACTTGCTCGGATTTAGGTGAATTCCTGGGTTCAAATATTACTGAAATAACAGTAATGAGCAGTTCAGCGGGGTTCTTTCCTTCCAGTCCATCTTTGGGCAGCAACACCGCCGTTAGTGTTGACAATGAGGATTTAACCCTCAAAGCTGCTCTATTTATAGCCTACAGCAGGCCAGACAGACATAGACAAAAAAGGGCACAGCGTCTCTTTCTCACCACCTGTCTGTAGGTCACATGCATAAGACATTTTGGTCACACTTTATATTAGGTGGCCTTAACTACTATGTACTTAAATAAAAAAATACTTATTGTGTTCATATTGTATTGCAAAACACATTTGCTGCTATTGGTGGGATACGGGTAAGGTTAGGGACAGGTTTGGTGGTATGGGTAGGTTTAAGGATGGGTTAAGGTGTAAGGGATGGGTCAGTGTAATTATAAATGTAATTACATATAGGTATTTTTAAAAATATATAAGTACAATGTAAAAACATGTATAAGTGCATTGTACCAAATGATTAATTTAAATGTAAGTACATAGTAGCTAAGGCCATCTAATATAAAGTGGGACCAAAATTTTTATCCAGTCATTCACAACTTAAACACGAATCTTGAAACTTTCAGCCTTATCATATATGTTTGGGGTTGGTTAGATTTTTTAATATTTTTCAAAGAAGTCTCTTATGCTCACCAAGGCTGCTTTTATTTGATCAAAAACACAGTACAACAATAATATTGTGAAATATTATTACAATTTAACGTAACTGTTTTCTATTGTAATATATTTTAAATGTAATTTATTCCTGTGATGGCAAAGCTGAATTTTCAGCATCATTACTCCAGTCTTCAGTGTCACATGATCCTTCAGAAATCATTCTAATGTGTTGATTTGGTGCTCGAGAAATATTACACATTAACAATGGTGAAAACGAAAGAGTTCAAAAGAACAGCATTTATTTGAAATAGAAATATTTTGTAACACCTTAAATACTTTACTGTCACTTTTGATATATTTAATGCATCCTTGCTGAATTAAGTATTGAAAAAAAAAACCTTACTGACGTTTTGAACAGTAATGTATATATATTTTTTTTTAATATTTTCAAAGCATTTGTGTGAAGTCTTGGCTCCTAATTCAGACCTCATGTGTGGATAAAGGAGGATGTACTGACCTTGAGTTTGACACCCACAAATATAAAGACACTAAGAAACTCCAGTTTATCAAAGCTCATAAAAGCTCTCAAGGAGTACTGAGAAGACGAACAGAGACTAACCTACCAGTTATTCACAGAATGCTTTAGTTTGATCACTATTAACTGAAACATGTGAATAAAAATATGTCAGTGAGAAAGAGAAAGACTATTGCAAGAATTCTGAGAGCCAGCAAACCTTTCAAAAAGACCCCGCAGACTCAAATGTACCAGTATGTTGAATTCAATTTGGAGAGTTTTGATGGCTATTTCTTATGATTCATATATAACTACAATAAAAGAATTTACTCATAAATGGCTTTTGAGATGCATAGAAAATTTTAAGGACTTGGAAACATGCATTCAAAATGATTTACTTCAACATAATGTGTGCTTTAATACAGAACAATACAAGTTAGGAATTTTACGGTATATTGTTTTATTTCATGTTCTCAACATGGTCACAGTTATAGTTAAACATCAATAGGGTCTCATCATCTACTTAGAAACAGAATGCATATTAAAACCATCCTCTCCTTGTTTGGTAATTAAAAAAATGAAATGTATGAGTTAAATGAAAGGCGACGAGAGTTATGTAACAGTCGGCTTATTAAAGAAGATCCTATGACAAATTTGAGAAGTACATTTGGTAGCAGAAGCAGTGTCATGTTAATATGAGTCTCTTTAAGGTGAAAAAGGACTACACCATCAATGCGATGGCTGAGCGAAAAACAAAAAAGTATTATACAAACTATGTACACGTCAACCCAACCCCCTACCCTTACACTTTCCCTTTATCATACATATTAGATTTATATATGATATGCTTTTTTTCTATTTTCTCACATTGGTTTGTGATATGTACAGCGGCACAGGCTTTTTACAGAAAAAAACTGAAGTGTAATGATCTTTTTAGGGGGTAAACAAGTGATATACATGCCGAAATGCAGTGGCACAGTATAAAATGTAACAGCAAGCCAACACCACTTAAAAAAACAAAACAATCGAACAAACAAAAGATGAGGAAAAACATAGTAAAAAGAAAGCACATTTCTTCATTTTTAAATAAGCTCACATTTCAACCAGAGGTGCTAGGCATCAGCTGCATGCAAAGCTTTGTGACGTTTTGACTTGACCGTCCTGTACTGTACAGTACAAAGCTGAAGCACCACAATACATTTACAATACACTGCAGTGAAATCCATAAAAAACATTCAACACAAAGGTGAAAAACCTAAAAAAAAAACATAGAAAGAGACATTTTCTTGACAGTTGTTTGAATTTATGGTGGGCTGTTTAGTCAGAAATGGCTTCGGGTGATCGCATTTGTACACAGAGATGGGCTGTCCTAGTCTGATTAATGCTGTACTGTACAAATGACTGGCCTCAGTGCATCTTGGGAACAAGCCAGGTGTTATGAAGTCTGATAATGACATAAACACGGATTTATGCTCTATTATCTGTAAGCTTCTATTATTATTATTATAATACGGATGTGCCCCGGCGGCACTTCATTACGATTAGGCTACCGGCTAATATTTTCCTTTATAAACTAGTTGACGTTCAGTGTTTGATTTTTCAAGCCCAGATAAACAATAAACAGATGTCTCCTAATTGAATCTATTTCGGTACGAAACAGGCTAAAGACATTTCGAATGAAGAGAAGTCTACAGATTTTAATATGCTCATCATCATCATAACTCATTTAACAACGGTCAACTGTAACACTGATAATATCTCTGGAAATATGCAATATCTAGAGAATATTTTGTACAATATACATGCAAGAGTACTTTAGTTGACATTCCTGACTGTAGGTTGCAGGTAAAACAGAGACCAGGGAGAACAAGATGTCGGTGGGGGGCGAGAAACAATATGGGGTTTGATGCATGATATTGGAAATATGCTAACAGAAACGACAAACAAAATCAACCAACTGGTTGAATTTACAAAACTGAAACATACATATTGCACATGATTAATTAATTAAAAAAAGAAAGAAAGTCAGAAAAAAGAGAAACAACGCACAGCAAATGTGCTGACACTGGTCTCGTATAAGAGAGCGAGCTCATTTCAGCCGTGGTTTCTGTACATTAAGTGATTATTTACAATGACAAGTGCTGTTCAGAAGCTCTGTACTTGAGTTAAAAGAGTGTCAACACACAAAACTATTACATCGAATCACAGCTCCGTCACCATTTATCTACTTACAGTATAAAACAAGTCAAAAATTTAACCGAGAAAGGGGATATGTGTGAAAAAGCATGTCCAAATCCGTTCATCCAACCGACCCACTGCTACATATTATATGCAGTTTACATTACATCAGATTACATTACATTAGCTGTATTTCTGAGCAGGTGAAAGGCATTCTCACAGGAGGACAGAAGAATATGTATCAAATCTACTTCATTTCCACACAGAAGAGGGCACACGCTCAGCCTGCTGAGAAAAATCAACATCTCTGCACAAACTCACTCTTGAAATATGGGGAGAGAATTCCATCAGCTCTGGCTTTCCTCCGACCCAAACACTACCCCTAATGTTAGACGACAAAATAGCCTTCTCCATCACATCGGCTTTACCATAAACATCTTCAAATGTACATTTATTTCATATTGATTTATTCATTTCTAAAAAAATAGTTAAAAAAATAAAACCATGTTGCAGCAGTGGCCGGAACCGACGAGTCGAGGCCGTGGAGGATCCATCCAAGAGCTTCCCTGTTCCGCCCTCACCCTTCCCACAGTCCCTGTGATTGGTTTGTGCTACGTAGATCCCGAAGGAGGTGGAGCGAACACAAGCCGGAGATTCCGGGAGAGTCTTCCAACTCCAAGGCAACCAATAATTTCCATGTTGTTCAACTGGCCACCTACTGAGTTCAGTATCAGTGAAAACTAGTAACTTCGAGAGTACACAGAGAATACTGAGATTTTATCTGAGGCTTCGGATAATTTTTGTCCTATAACAATAATAATAATAATAGCTGCTAATATTATTATTATTATTTTACAAAATACTATATGCACGACATAAACAAAGCACATCTTTTTTCTTTTTCTCTTTTTTGGAATAACTCAAGTCACTGCTTTTTAATAATTGGCACATTATAGTCCCCTAACTATATCACAGAAATGTGTGGTCTACAGCTACATTAAATACTGGAACACCGCTAGTTGTGACCGACTTCTCTCAAACCGTACTTTAGTTTCTGCAAACTAATAAGCAGGCTATTTGATAATGCATTTAGGTAATTAAGCACAAGAAAACAGTTGCCCCGGTCTTTTGCGCATGCTCTTGCTTCACCGCCAAAGTCGAGAGGGTTGAAAGTCTCTAAAATCGAGCCTAAAAGAAGCAGCAGCAGCTTTATCTGGGGCTCTACAGCTTGAGCAATGACTGGTAAGAACTGATGATTTGAATTCTAGCCGCCCCAAAAGAGAAGACCGGTGCTACACAGTGTGGCTCCCCTTTCCAGAGGAGACGGGTGCTGGATGAGTTGAAATGTGAGTCATGGTGCCCTTTTGTTCGTGTCCTTGTAGGCAGCAACAATCCGTTGCATGTTACAATCTAAAGAGAGGCCCAACGGTCACCCCACCAAAAACGGTCCCATTCCCAAGTGGAAAGAGTTCGCGGAGGGGCTCAAACCACAGTGCTGATGCCGCTGTGTTTTGGCTTGGTGCTGCTGGCTGTCGGAGGAGGGGCCGGAGGCTGGTTGTGGTGGTGAGGTGCATGCTGGGAGTGGGAGGGGTGTGGCCCATGGCCATGGGGACCGTGCGAGTGGCTGTGAGAGGACGAGGGGCCGGGCGGAGGGTGGTACTGGTGGGGTGGGTGTTGAATGTGCGCTGGGGGGTGGTAGTGATGGTGGTGGTGGTAAGGAGGAGGATTCTGCATGTGGCAAAACTGAGTATGGTGGGGGTGCATCTGGGCCTGGGTCTCGGTGACGCCATCGCGGGCCGTGTGGTGCAGGTTGGTAGGGTGCGGGGTGTGAGAGATGAGTGTCGGGTGGGAGGGGTGTGAGGCCTGGGGAGGCAGAGAGGGCGCCTTGCCCCGCTTGGTGCCGAACAGGGAGCCCAGGAGAGAAGAGGAGTTGGGGATGGACTGCTGGCGGGAGGGGCAGTCGCGGCTGGAAGTGGCTCGACGCCGTATGTGGGGGCTGCTAATGATGGACCCCTGCAGGAGGATGAGGAAAGAGAGAATGGAGAAGTTAAACACGAGATTGCTTGATGAGTTCCATTTATTAATATTCCACATTCTGCATTCTAAATGTTTAAATGTTTATTTGGCCTGATTTAAGTGTGTAATCATTAGGGTTGGGAACCAAAAATCCATTTTGGCATTTTTAAAATGAAAACAATATAAAAAAACAGCAATTATTTTCATGACATTTGGTTCTATTAACAGGTCTTCAATTACCTTATTTTTCCCATGAATAATCCACAAATTATTAAAAAGACTCCCAGTCATGTAAGAAACAAGTCGTGAAGTCATGAGTTATTGGTTTGAATCAGTCTAGTGGCTCACTGAATGAATCATTTGATTCTTGAACTTAAGTCATTACTTTTATCATGTACAAATCAAGAAGACCACAAACTAGTTTATGACTAGTTGTTCATAAAGCAATGTGTAGTTAAAGACAAATTCAGAACAGAGCTTCGTCATAATAGGGAATTTTAATTAATAATAAAACGCATTGAAATGTAACAAAGTTTTTTTTTTGTATATTTGTTAAGTTAAAGAAGTACCAAATATTCAGAATCAAGTAAGTGTAGTTCGATTTTAAATAAATTCTTTGATTCCCATTCCTAATAAATATATATTCCATATATTTCAAACAATAAAAATGATATATATACACTACCATTCAAAAGTTTGGGGTTGGTAAGATTTTTTAAATTTATTTAAAAGAAGTCTCTTACGCTCACCCACGCTGCATTTACTAAAACACAGTAAAACGGCATAAATGAAAGGGTACAATTTTTTTGCAATTTAAAATAACTGTTTTTTGTTTTAACATATTTTAAAATGTAATTTACAGTGGTGGCCAAAATTATTAGAACACTAGTATTTTCATCAGCTAAAAAATGGTTTTAAGTCAGTTATTTCTATCTTTTGCTGTAGTGTGTCAGTAGGAAATATCAGTTTTAATTTCCAAACATTAATTTTGCCATTTGTCAATTTGGTGCTCAAGAAGCATTTTGTACTATTATCCATGTTGAAAATGGTTGTGCTGCTTAACATTTTTGTGGAAACCATGATACATTTTTTTCAGGACTCTTTGATGAAAAAAAGAACAGCATTTATTTTAAATAGCAATCTGTTGTAACATTATACATGCATCCTTGCATTTCTTTCATATTCTTTAAAAAAATAAATCACACGGACCCCAAACTTTTGAACGGTAGTGTAATATCTACCAAAAGGCAATGCAAATTTAATACCCAAAATAGTATCACATAAAAAGTAAATGATTCCATTTATGTCAGTATTATAAAACAAGGACACAGCACTCAAGCAATGCATCAAGACCATCCATCAGCAGTTAATGCATTTATAAAAGACCGAAACAGATCCCTGAAAGCCATGCATTACATGCAAAAGCTGAAACAGGCAAGATTGAGTTAGTCAGCCTTTAATAATGTTAAAGCGAGCATATGGGCTTATCCTGCATTCCAGGATGGGCTGCCAAACAAACTGGCACACATGATAACCTATACGGACTAAATGGGTGACAATCCAAATCCAGTCTATTAAAGCAACACCTTTGCTAAACTCCCTCATGTTTATTATGCTTATCTGCACACAGATGGGAAACAATTTCAAGGCATTCAGAGGGGTTAAAAGGTGCTTAGGGCTGCAAAGGAAGAGGTCAAGTGGTTGGAGGAGGTTGGTGAGGAAATGAAGACTTGCACTTTTTGAAGTGCTTAGGCGCACCATTCTATTGTTCACTTGCAACGGCCAACAGAAACATGCCACCAGGAATCAAATCGTAACCATTTACAAAATAAAAAGACACACACAGCCCACGGTACGTGAATTGGGATGTTTGCATTAGTTGAGTCATGCTGACTAAGTTGGACCGTGGAGATGTTATGATATGTGATGTGAGCCACGGGGGCAGAATTCCCCGTCATTCCACATAAGCTCCAGAGGAACAGGCAGCCCATGCATGCAGGGTGGCCTACATAGTCCAAAAACAACACCACACACATACAGACAGTGGAAACTACTGAGCAAAGAAGCAACCAAAAAGAAAAGATGGTAGACAGACCAGAGAAACAAATGAAGCAAAGTTGCAGTTTCAAAACGCAACATTGTCACACAGAATAGCGGCCTGTTGTAGGTTCTTGCGTCCTATATCACGGTACTTACTTCGATATTGCTGTCTAGAGATCCTGCACTGCTGCGGCGCCCCCGCTTGCCTGAGCGAGACATGCAATATGATAGATTAGAGCACGCTCGAATAGTCAGATATATAGAGGCGCGTGTAGAGGCATATATATCCCGCCTGCCTACAGGGGCGCTATTGAGACACGAAGCAAGCAGCCGTTGTCCGGAAAGGGAGGGAGGGTAGAGCCAGGTGGGTCAGGAGCTTTTAAAGGGCCAAAGGATGAGGGTATACTGGTCCTAAGATCACTAAGCATAAAGCTACATCTTCAACATCTTCAAGAGTCTTGAGCAAACGGGTTTGATGACTACAAACTGAAATCCCTACACAAGATCGTAGCAGCAACTGAACAAAAACAAGCAAAACGGTAAAAAAATCTTGATCTTGATTTCTGATGTATAGACAAAGACAAATGTAGCAGCCTAGACTGGCAGTATGAAACCTTTGTCAATCTTTAATAAGCACGGAATGATTGAATGTCAATGTTAGGAGAGCTATCAACTGCTATACGTGTAGTTTCATCTTAAAGCAATAGTTCACCAAAAATGGATATTTGCTGAAAATTTACTCACTCTCAGGCCAGATGAGTTTGTTTTTTCATCGGAACAGATTTAGAGAAATTTAGCATTACATCACTTGCCCACTGATAACAACATGGCAAGTAATCCACACGTCCATCAATTAACGTCTAAGCTTTGTAAGAAAGTATGCAGTACGTATACGAGTTCGTAAGAAATGAATGATTCAGGCCAAGATACGTACCCATAAACCATAATAATGTTTCTGCTAGTGAAAAAGCCCCAAATCATTCCACATCAAAATCCACCGACATATTTTTTTAGAACTGTTTTTACCCATAAATGGTTCTTGACCTGTGCATATTTCTCTCCTGATTCAGGCAAGATGACTTTTTACTGGAAAAAGCCATTTTATGGATGGAGGACTTTGTTTATTTCTTACAAACACACAGCTTATCACTTCACAAGACGTTAATTATTGGACTGGAGTCTTGTTTGTTAACTCTTATTATGACGGCACCCATTCACTGCAGAGTGAGCAAGTGATGTAATGCTACATTTTTCCAAATCTGTTCTGATGAAGAAACAAACTCATCTACATCTTACATAACCTGAGGGTGAGTCAATTTTCAGCAAATTTTAATTTTTGGGTGAACTGTTTCTTTAATGCATTAATTAAAAGATACTGCACACATTTTCAGTGCTGTTTTCACTGCAGAGGATTGCTGGAATGGGATATTCATAGCTTTGCCAGACATGTCTCTAGTTCACATGTGTCATGACTCCTGCTGTCAGGCTCAGCGGCCAGCTTGGTCGAGTTCGATTCACACTTACGGAGCGTGACTGTGCTGTTAAATGTTTGTTCTAACAGAGGAAGCATGTGAGGTCACACTATCCATTTTTTTTCTGCGTAGTGACTGCCATGTTTAGGGCTCAAAACGATGTGCTAGATAGGGTGTGAAGATATCACAGCTTGTGAATTGTGTTCAAAGGTTCAATTATAGAGTGGGAAAAAACAACTAATGTGGAAGATAATATTTGTCAGGATGCATCTAGCTTCATTAGCCATGGCAAAGGACATTCATAATAGGGCTGGGTGGCAGGTTACTATTATTTAGATATTTTTCAGCATTTTAGAAATATTACAATTATACTATAATACCAACAAAATAAAGCTGACTATAAGATATAGATAGATAGATAAATAGATAGATAGCTTAATATATAGCTTGATATTTGTGTATTTGCTCTGAAATTTTACTTTTTAAAACATTTTAATCATAGGCCTTCATTTCAACCAAGAAGCCATGGGAATATAAAAAAGTTTTATGTATAAAAAAAGTGTTATTTTAGTATCATTTATATACTATTATAATATTTATTACCATTTTGAATTATTTTATATATATATATTAAAAAAAAAAAAAAAATCATTTTCAGTCATTTTAGTACTTCAACTTATTTTAGTTAATTATCAAGGCAACATTTATTTCAATTTAGTACCAAAAACTATTTTTTATTAGTTCTGGTTTTAGTTTTAATTAATTACACTGGTAACAATCTAGTGACAATAATCAAAGATGATTTTGCATACTGATTTCACTACACAAGTACCTCAAAACTAGTCTAATGACATGGACTTTAGGAAACCTAACAGTCAAATAAAAGCACACGAAACAAATTAAATTCATCTTAAATTGGCAATAAAATCCTTGAATATGTTACATACAGTATCACCCAGCTCTAATTGATAAATAATTGAGGCTACACTAATGGTTGTGGACAAACACCAATTTAGAAGCAAGCATTCAGAGCTCTACTTTGGCAAGAGGAGAAGTATTTTTTGGACAAGACTGTAAAAAATAATCAATGTTTGTGACAGATAAAGCCAGAAATTCATGACATGTCTTATGTGGGTCTGCACACTTACCTGCATCTGAAAGGTCACGTAAGGAGCTGCTGAGGGCACTTCTCTTGAGGCCTTCACCCATGGCGTAACTGTCATCCAGGCTGGTGCGACTCAGATTGCCATTTCCCGTCTCTTTCTTCAGCCCTGAGCTCTGGGAAATGCTGGGACGTACCACACCTTTCTGCTTCTCCAGTTCGGCTGCATAAAACGACGTCAACTTCAATGATCATGTCATTTCACACACATTTCACTGCTTTTAGGCACAATAAACAGGGTTTGCAGTGTGAAAAACCAGCACATTGCTCAAGCCCCTTATGGCTTTCTTTCTTCTGTGGACTATCTTGGTCAATCTTTTTCTAAAATAACGTATTATGAGAGCTGCTTACACTCTATTCTGTACTTCTCCATCTCCTGCACCTCTGCGATGGACTCCCGCAGGTCATCTGTGAACTTCTTGCGGTCTTGCGGGTTGGGGGCGTTGAAGTTAATGAGAACCTTGATTTCTGCGCCTGGAAGTGCTGAAGTGAGACGCACTCCATTGGGGTAATCTGAAAAGCAGCAGCGGGAGAGAAATATTTACAGACCGGCAAATCACGACAGCACTCGGACATGCCCTTTTCAGAGGGACGCACTGATCGATATTCTCACATATCACAAGCGCACATGACAGATATTTTAATCTTTTTGTGTGAAAATGCATCGTAATACACAATACTTTGAGAATTAATTTGTTTTCAATCAACAGCAGAAGTATTTTATGACCTTTAACACCTGTTTCATGTTTTCCTGCAAAGCGAAAAGCCTGGTTTTTACTCGACACACCAGAACAAAAGTGAAAGAGTGCAATCAAACTGTACGAACAAGGTAAAACATAGTCCAGAAAAGGGCAATATGGGGTCAGAAGGGCTTTGACCCTTCACTGAGGGTACTTACACTGGTTTTCAAACAGAAGCACCTGCATGCCATATAGAGAAAAGGACTGCCTGAAGCTGTACGTCACCGAATTCTTCTTCTTCTGGAAAATCTTAGTGACCTGAATTGAAAGAATGTCACATTAGGACCCCATCTGTTCCTAATTATCCTTGGCTCTATTCTTTGAGCCTTTGGAAAAGCTGAGTAACACTTTCTGATCATGGACACATGATGTACACAATTGCTGACCTAGAATTGGACTAAATGTGTCTTGCGGACCATTACACAACCATAACAACAAAACATAACAACATAACACAAAACGTTATGATGTAAGACTGTTCGACCTCATTTTTTCCTGTTTTTACGTGTCTCGCGTTGCATCATGGGCTATGATGTGTGTGCTTTCTTACCACTAAAAGGTCATTGAATAGGAAGATTTCTCTCTGGTGGAGACCCAGTTTCTGAGGTTTGTTAGGGTCTGGCACTTCGAACAGCCTGCAGTAACATACCAGCCTGCGATGTGGTAGAGACAGCACCTGTGTGTGGGACACAAATATTGATTTATTGAATATTTGAGACCCAAAAATACCACACTAGCATACGACTTACTATTGCTGCTGTATATGTATACTCTACAGAGTATGTATATTTGCTGTATGCATAAAATAAGCAGAGGACACATAATATATATATATATATATATATATATATATATATCTCCAACCTACTACAGTACATCATACTTGGAAAAAAAACGGACCAGAAAGAATGCAGAAAACCCTCAATTAAAATCAATTATTTTGTAATTATTTTACTGGTTTGTAACCATGGTTATCTGACTTGAATTGTTTAATGACAGTAAGAGGATTAAAAACAGTGAAACATTATACTCACACATCCAAGGCCATGGTGCAGAGACCCGATCTGAAAAGTGAAAAAATGAGACTGATGAGTAAGGATCATGGCATGAGGACTGGAGGGAGGCTTGAAGGTCAGAGTGGTCTCTCTCTCTCGTTATCAAGACCCCCCTCCATCTACCTGTCAGATGTGAGCAGTACTGTATGAATGGGGTGAGAAGGGAGGTTAATGGAAAGCCAAACTGCTGCTGCTTGAAACTGTGACAGGAAGTCTCGGCCCATTTTCAGGAACCTAATTACAGCACCCGGGATGCAACGTCTGCAGGCAGGGGTCTCGGGCACAGCAGCCTTCTATCTGAGCTCCACAGGAGATCTCCATTATGTCCTCTCCAAAGATGCGTGGAAGATACACCAGGGAGAAGGTTTTCCTGGCAACCAAGCCATGTGTGCTGTTTCCATTAAAGCTTAAATGTTAATTATTTCAGCTCTGAAAACCCACAGTGCTTCCAAATTCAACTGTGTGACAGGCACTCGATGTGGTAATGAAGATGCAAGTTCATTATGGAAACAGCTTCAGTTAGTTTAGCCTTGGGAGAGACCAACAACTCTGCTGGAGAGATGATGTATATTGTACTGATCTTATGTGGATTATACAACTCTCCAGATCTATACCAGTCGAGGTAACAGACTTTAGTCAAGGCAGATGATAATGGTCTGCCTTTTTTTTTTTAAAGAAATTAATACTTCAATTCCAGAGGGACACATTAAATTCATCAAAAGTGACAGTGAAAACCTGAAGAAAGTGCTGTTCTTTTTAACTTTCTTTTCATCAAAGAAACGTAAAAAAAGTATCAGTTTCCACAAAATTACTAAGCAACACTGTTTTCAACATTGACAATAAGAAATGCTTAAAATCAGCATATTAGAATGATTTCTATTAATACTTCGATCATGTTGAAGATCATGTTGAAGACTGAAGATTGAAGTAATGGCTGCTGAAAATTAAGCTTTGCCATCACAGAAATAAATATATTTATACATATAAATACATTTATATATTTTATATTAAAAATATATATTTTTATATTAAACATTTTTATAATATAAAAATATAAAATATTTTCAAATAGAAATCAGTTATTTTAAATTGTAATAATATTTCACAATAATACTCCTTTTACTGTATTGTTGATCAAATAAATACAGTCTCGATAAACATAAGAGACTTCTTTAAAAAATAAAATATGTTTAAAAAATACACTATCAAGGTAAGCTAAGATAAAGGTTGAGAAACTAAATTTCAGCTAAATGTCATGCTTAAAATGCTGTCTTTTTTTAATATAACATGTAATGGTGGGGTCCCTTCTCTGTTTCTCCTCAACCACAAAGGAATCATTATGCTGAAAAAAATGGAAGACCCCATTCGACAGAATATAATAAAATATTTTATTTACAAATTGTAAAATCTTTTTAAAAGCATGTCTATAAATTTCCATTTGCGTCATATTAAATATATAATATATGCCTCTTCCACTGAATAATAATATGGTTGTAACTTGCTATACTGCATGATAAGGTGGTTGAGTTCAGAGCAGGTGAACTGTCAGTAGATTTAATCTGTTGGTAACTCTGAAGGCCTCTGTCGAGAAGCAAATCCCATTTATCATTGCAGAGCATCATGCAGCCCTCGCCACATGACTTACATACACACACAGACACCACAGTCAGACACCGTGAAGGTCTCAAGATAGGTATTAGATCTGTCATAAAGAAGAACATCTTGTAGATAAAGAATCTTCTAAGAGTTTCAATGTCATGTGCCTCTTGAGGATAAAAAGTGTTTGTAAATGGTTCCTGACAGAACAATAAAACCTATAGATCTACACTGCATAGAGGGGCGAAAGCAAACAAACACACAATAGGTGAGAGAAGGAACATGTTTTTGTCCTTGGATCATTTCACACCACTGGACCATGACTGGAATCGATAAAGTGTCATTTCTAGAACCGGGGTCAATGTAAGTTCACAACATGATAGATAGAGATGGACTGTTTTGAATTGTGGAAGACAAAAGAGATGATGACACTCACCGGCTTCTTGCCAACGATGAGTTTCTCCACCTTCTGTACCTGGGAGACGTGGTCTTCGTTAGTTTTAAGCTCTCGTTTCCGGATTCGCTCATAGATGCCCACCAACATCTCTCTTGGGATGTCCTCTCCGTCATCCACCCCTGGTGTACACAGGAAGCAAAAAACAAAAGAAAAAGCCCATGTATAATTAGGGCACGCAAAAGATTTACGGAAATTCTAGGAGAGAATTCGAAATGTAGGTAAAGCACATCTGAATTACGATGTGACTATATTTACATATCGAAGTTATAGGTGAATTTCTGTTTGCTTTGCTCCAATTTTTATGCAAGGTTGTGACCAGAATGTCATTGCTATCCCAAAGAGGCCATTAATCAGTCTGGAGCACATGCATTACGTTTAATTAGAGCAAATTTGAGTATTATTTTTTTTGTATGACAAAAACCTCAATGACTTTGAAGGGGAATTTATGGATGGAAAAGATTCAGTTTGCAATGAAAAACGTGAATTTGAATCTCACCGCGAAGGTTCTTTACAAAGTCCTCCAGTTTCATCTTCCTCTCTGGCTTCACGTTTGGGCTGTACATGTCCGTGTTGAGAAGTATAATGGCAAACGCCAGGATGAAGATGGTATCTGGGTTCCTAAACTGACGCACCACCCCAGGGTTGCAGATGCAGTAGCGCTGACTGAATGGAAAAAAACAACAACAAATGAACAAATTAATATGAGACTGCACTTCCACAAAATCAATAGCTGCTCTGGTGAGTAATTGGTTTTAGATGCACTAGCATGACAGAGAATGGTAAAAGTGCCACCCTGTTAAAGAGCTATGTTCTTTTAGATAACACTAGAATGGACTTTAAACAGTTCATTTGGAAACTGTCTGCCTCAAAGGGTTTAGCTATAACAATATTTTTTAAAAAGGTCTAAGAGTGGCGAGCAGGCAACCGTTGGAGTTATCTTCACATGCGTTGTAAGCTGGTGTGATCGCTCAAATGACAGATGGTCCTTGAGCAGCCGATTGAATAATGTTATCTGTGGGCTAAGGGAGTGTTTTATGTTTTTGTGTTGGTAAAATCTAATGAAGGCCAAGAAAGCAAACTATCTTAGAGAATTTCTTGCTTCTTACTGGATAGAAACAAGGTTTAACGGAAATTGCTAACTGATCCATTCTCATTGTCTAATCGCCAAGCTTCTCTTAAAAGGACAGTTCACACAAAAATGAAAATTATGTCATTATTTATTCACCCTTATGTTAGTCCAAACCCATACAACTGGTGAATTTTAAAGTGAATATCCTGGCCAAACAATTTTACACAATAATATGAAAATGAATGATGTGTTGTCTTGATGTCAATGTTGAAATGAATAATGTGTTGTTAATCTCCAAAAAACCCCCCCAAATAATATATAATAAAAATGGTTCAAATGACTTGAGGGCTATATTTCAAGTCTTCTGAAGCAATATTGTAGTTTGGTAGAGGAACAGACCATGCACTAAAAATCTTGATCACTTTGGTATGTTCATAGAAAATAATATTTTGAATATGAATCACTGGATAATAAATCAAAACCAGTCTAAATGACTCATTCACGAATCAGATGGATGTAATCATACCATTTTAAAACAAGTGAGAGTTTCATTTTTGGTGAACTGTACCTTTAAGGGTGCTTTTTTTTAAAGAATCAATTGAAATGTTTTTCACCTGAATGCTTCAATGAGTCGCTCCACTTTCTGTGCCTCTCCCTGCACCCGGATATGTGCCTGGAATTTTCTCAAGGCTTCATCCAGCTCCATTCCAGAGAAATCCATCTCATCTACCACACAGCTGAAAAAAAGATAATGAACAAAGTCAAAGGACCGCTACATTCTTTCCTGCACTGTAGTATATCCAGGATGGTGTATTCCTTATTAGTTTGGAAGTCTTCTGGGAAAAAATTGCATTCTATTCCATTCATTTTATTAATTTTCAAAGCACACATGAAGATATTTTAAACTGAGAGTGGTCACTGCTTTTAGACAAAGGAAAAAGCTAGACAAATTTAGTCTTTCCGATAAAAGCAAGTTCTATCAGTCTCTAAATCACAATCATGGGGCATACAAAGCAATCTGAGGGAGATTTTGCTCCAGGGATACTCAAGAGTGCATTTGATCTCCCATGTCAAGATTTACTGATTTCAAGGAAGTGCCTTAAAAAAAGTGCTGTCAGACTGAGCTGAACACAGATTTCATGGCCTTATCTGCCCCCATTATCTTGACTGTTACTGTCAGACTGAAAAAGGAGGATGAGTTGATTCACATCGCTTCGGAAAAGTGCTCCATGAACCCAGACACCTTAGTCAATATGTACAGAGCAGTGCAAGAGTCCATATATATTATCACTCTCTCACACTTAGATTCGATGGAGGACTGGCTGGAATAATCGTTTGTCATATGCGGACTAATTTCAAGAGGTCACTAACAATTACAGCAAATGCTTGTGGTTACAAAAAAAACGAACCAGTTTCAATTGTTCCGAAATAGAATTAATATTTTCCACCTTTGATCCTAAATGCACTCGATTTAAAAAGAGGACACTAAATGGATGTGGCTACAATTGTAAAGAACCAGTTTCTAAAACAATGGACTATGAATTTGATCCTACATGCACTCAAAGCCACATGAGCTTGAAAGGCTTAGACATGGTGGTCAGTTTGTCTCAGGAGGGAACACATAAATTCATAAAGGCTCCAGTGATACTGACTTAATGTAATTTACCAAGTTAATTCTGCTGTGGTGAGGATAGTGAAGGATAACGAAAAGCATAATTACAGAGGTGCATCCTAAAATGAAAGATTATGATGGAATTCCCGTTGTTGTTGTTTTTGTTTGGAGAATTTGTGTTTTCTTTTTTTGTAAATGTATGTAAAATATGGTTTGCTTGGAGCATGGATTGATTCAATTGAAAAACGAAAAAAAAAAAAAAGTTTAACAGACTGCAGCATCTACCAGTAAATTATTTAAAATTAAGCTGAATTGTGTCATTTTTCCTATAATAATATACTTCTACCTGTACTGGATTAATGAGCAGAGACAACTAATTGTAAATATCCATGCACAAAACAAAGCATTAAAAATTACTGCATATTTGAAAAAACTTGGCTTTGGAGTATATTTCACTTTGAATGAATACAAAACACCCAACTAACCCAGTTAAATTTGCTGAACTTACTCAAGAACATCTCTGTTAAACTGTTTCTGCCTGTTGCCCAGGAACTCGCCAATCATCTGTCGACTCAGCCCTTTTCTCTGTAACAGGAAATGGGCAACTCCCACAGGTGTGTCTGGGACAAATCCTCTCTCAATCAGGTACTGGATACCTTTTTCAGGTTTCCTAGAGACAATAAAAGAAGATCAAGAGTCTGAACAGTGCCTGCACTGGTCCCAAAGTGTGACTAACCAGCTCTCAGATCAAGTACGTTCATGCGACTGGACCGTTACCATACAAGATTAAAAGGAACTTAATGGCCCAGTGCAAAGACAGGCAAATCCACAATCATCCAAGATTAGAGGTTCCCACTCTAAACACGGCTTTAAATGAACAAACACATTCTAAGGCACACACAAAACATGCACAGCCCCAGCAGCAAGTAAGCACCTTAATCCATTCAATAAGAAATTAAATCTGATTTGAAATACCTCATGATTGCAAAATAAATGATCAAACATAATCCCTACGTTGTTGTAAGGAGATTTAAAAAAAGACAAACCTTGTTTGTCTCAAGTACACAGCGTTAGATGGTAAACTCTGGTTATGAGGGCAGTGTGTTTTCCTTGATCAACAGCCCAACTAAACTAATAGTGTTCTCATCATGGTTCTAATTGCTTGATAGCTAATCAAATTTAGAGCGCTGAGTGGCAATCAAACAGCATCACATGCATGCACACAGACACGTACTGAATAAATGAATGAGTCAAAATTATAATGACTGTCTGGAAAAGGAAAACACATGTCTATTGTGCTTTGTGTGCTTGGTTTAGATGATAATTGAAAAAACATTAGCTCCCAGCATTGTTCGCGTACTAAGATCTTTCACAGTTATTAATAAAGCTAATGAAAATCATTACTCAATGCAACTGAAACATGACACTCCAAAACAGAGATTGTGAGCAGTGTGGGAATGAGGAGCAAAGTAGCATCATATTTGCCTGGACTGAGGTATGTTCCTGTAGCTCAAATAGTTGATCATGACACTAGCAATGCCAAGGCTGTAGGTTTGATTACTTAAATTGTATTAATGATTGTATTATCATTAATTGTATAATGGCTGATTGTATTAATGTAAAAAGCATAATGGAATTGGATGCTGGCAACAATTTACAGCATAATCCTGCTAACATGGGCATATACAGTGGGTACGGAAAGTATTCAGATCCCCTTCAATTTTTCTATAGACAGGTGTGTGGCTTTCCTAATCAAGTCCAATCAGTATAATCAAACACAGCTGGACTCAAATGAAGGTGTAGAACCATCTCAAGGCTGATCAGAAGAAATGGACAGCACCTGAGTTAAATATATGAGTGTCACAGCAAAGGGTCTGAATACTTAGGACCATGTGATATTTCAGTTTTTATTTTTTAATAAATCTGCAAAAATGTCAACGATTCTGTGTTTTTCTGTCAATATGGGGTGCTGTGTGTACATTAATGAGGAAAAAAAATTAACAAATGATTTTAGCAAATGGCTGCAATATAACAAACAGTGAAAAATTGAAGGGGGTCTGAATACTTTCCGTACCCACTGTAAATAAAAAACCATACTGAAACGACCTAAAGGCACAATATGTAAGATTTTTTAATTAAAATATTAAAAAAAACACTAGAACAGTGTTATATATTTTGCTGACTTGTGTACTTACATTATCCCAAATGTTTCAAAGAATGTTTAAATCCAGAGAAATAAGCAATTTTAACTAGTGACACGGACCGTGTCCATAGTGTCATTGTGTCGCCTGCCAATGACGTCATAACCCCTCGATTTCCGGTTTTGTTTTGTAGAAAACATGGAAACACCAAAGACGCTTTAATATGTTGTGCGTTTTAATAAACCGGTGACGACCGCACAGAGTAGCATTATAACAGAACTTTCAAATGTATCTAGTATGATAAAACAGCGCTGCTTTTTTTCCCACATACGCACGACCGGAAGGAGCGGAAGCGATCGACTGTGGCATAATAAAAGCTACGCTGCTTTCGAGCCATGTGTCGCGCTCGTTCAGCGGCCTAATTTCGCTTCGACGGCTTTCAGTCTCACCCTGCTTCATTCTACTACGTTAATAAATCATTAGATCATCCATGAACATTATTTCTGCTCGAGTCCCGTCGGATTGCATCGGCTGTGGGGACGAAGACGACAACTCCCATGATTCACGGCGTCATCAAACTATGCCTTTGTCTATTTGTTTATTTTGAATACGCACCCTCCAGCAACGAAAATTACATATTGTGCCTTTAAACTGTGGTCAAGTTTACCTTAAGGCACTTATGGAATTCATTGGATTCAAGTCTGTATTTATAACATGCAAATTTGCCATGTTTAGTAAAATGAAGTTTCTTGATTTGGAAGTGACCTGTAATTGAACTATGCTTCATGCTGCTTCGCTACACTATTGACAATGGACCCACTTTGTCGTTGAAATTTTCACTAATGCAGCTTTACAGTAACAGTGTGCCAGCTTTTCTAGAAGCAGAAAATTGAAAACCCGGAATGGATTTGTATTGGATGCTTCACTCCACTCACATTCTCTTTTCCCAACTAGCTTTCAACAACCAAAAGCATGCATTCACACTTCACCTACTTGTTAAAAAGGTTCAGGCCAATACGATAGTGCCTCTTGCGGATGATATCATTGCTGAACGCGGGTGAGTCCCAACTGTTGCGTGTCTCTTTATGATACGTCTGCTTGCTGAGAGTCTGCTCTCGAAGACTATCCCTGGATGAGGACTCCGAACTGCAGTTGATGGTATCATTGGAATTGGAAGTGCTATTGATGCTGTCGTTATCGCCATCGGAGAAGTCGGACTCGGATTTGCTTTGCCGGTTGGCAGTGCCGTTGATTGCCAGATGGCTCTCCAGTTGCCTTGGCCGATGCCTAGGAGCGTCGTCATCTCTTGCCGGTCCCCTTGGTGGTAGCGCATGAGAGGGGATGTGTTTTGGGCTGCCCTGCTGACTGGCGATGCCCCGTTCGTAAGCGTTCTGCCTCTTGAGTGAGCTTCGGTCAGAACGGTCGCTCAGCTCAACCGAGCTATCGCTGGGAGGTTCGATGGTAAGCAAAGGAAGGTGGTCTATCCTCAGTCTCTGCTCTTGACACTCTAGAGACGGGGTGCTTCGGCAGCTAGTGTCCGTGTCGCCCTTTTCGTCCTTATGAGCTAGAGGCCAGTAGTCCTGCGAGTTCAAAGAACGTAGACGGAGGTCTGATTCTGTGCTAGAAGGTCTGTCAACTGATTGTGATAAAGGAAGTGGAGGGGAGAGCTCTTCCTCATCTATATAAAGTGTTACGTCACTGTAGGAAGCTGTCATCTCATCTCGCTTACGGTGGTCACTACTGTGAGAAGGCTTGACCTGGTAGGTAACCTCTTGCTCCAGGTCTGGATGACCTCTGGTTGGCTCTGGCTGTCCCTCATCTCCATGTAGGCTGCGACAGTTCAGAGCATCATCTATCGACTCTGCCAATGACTTCACTTGTCGAGAGAAAACGTCCTCCAGCTCTGTAATGGCATCCGTGAAATCGCTCTGGACTGCAGGCGACTTCATGTTGGTGGGGACCATCTCCCCACGCTCCGATTGCACCAAGGCTCCTAGTTTAGAACCATCGTCTGTAAGAGACACCTGCTTCCCCTCAAAATATGAACTGTGGACTTTTTCAGGTCCTTCAAACGAAAACTGCATTCTCATATTGGACAAAACTATGCGTCTGGACATGCGGTTCTCCGACATAGAACTCCTGAGGCGCTCAAAGTTCTTGTTCATCTGATATTGGCGGAAGGCAGTCTGGATTGTTCGCGCAGCATGTCGGGTTATAAAACGCCCTCCATACTTGCGCTCCAGCATCTCCACCTTTGGAAACACACAAAGATTATGCACCACTTTTAGTCAGAGTATCAAAACCCAAACATGCAAAACATGTCCCTTCTTCCTTAGTCTGACATAATTTTATTGTTGACAGGGATTTTGTTCTCCCTCCCATGACATAATATGACTTGATCAAACCACAAGCCAAAATTGGTAAGCCACTTAAATAAAAGAAACAAATAAAAGCCACACATGGAACTAACTATTAAAGCTTGGGTATTTTGCCAGGTAGGATGAATAAAACCATTTCATCCCTTATAAAGGCATCATGGACTGAAGAACGCCTTTAGCTTGGTACCTAAGAAACCAGTTGTAACCCACTACCATGCAAAAGTCAGCTCAAGACCTTTTTAGCCTGAAGAATGGGCAGAACTAATCACATTTCTCAGCTCTGTGAGACCTCACACAGAGATGGTGGGAAGCATGCCTCTGGACAGTACCACAACACCGTCACTCTGAATACGAATCACTCTCTCAGCATGCACTGAGTTATGATTCTCATCTCCCAAATCCTAAAAGGTTCTCATTGATCTCATATCAGCCTTTGGGTGTATTAAATTACTTCATATGAAAGACATGCAGTCACCACAAGCAACTTTAAGGAATTAATGTTCACCTAACTACAATAAACTAGATTTGTTTACAAAGTCCTTTGAGGGGAAGTACATCAAGTGTAAGATGAAGCCACTGAACCTCAATCACACTCCCTCTGCACCAAAAAGGCGCATCGCAATATGAATACAAATAGCTGGTGAAGAATTGATGGTTTCTTGGTAGCATTCCAGTTAAAGATCATGAAGAACTCTACCTGTTTGTCTTGGAGGTCGGTTGAGAGCTCATAGCTCTCAGACAGTGATCGTGAGCGTTTGATGGCCTCCTCTTCTGCCTGTTTGCGAAGGATTGATTGGGAGTGCTGGAGTTTGGGTCGCCGTGGGCGCTGCCGTATGTCGTGAGCGTACAGTGGTGGGCCGTCGAAGAGCTCGCCACTGATGATGGCACTGCGGCTCACCGGCCCTCGTAAATAACCACCACTGTTCTCTAGAGAGGGGCCCGCCTCACCACCCGGAGCCTCACCTTCCACACTGTACAGGGAAAAAGAAAGAAATTGTAAGTTGATTGAATGGGTTAGAATAGACAAAAAAACAGTTTCTTTCATACTGACGAATGACTGAGGCATACCAATAGGGATTTGGTTTTGATTCAATGAGTCAGTTGTTCAAGAATCAGACTACACTGGTTGCGTGATATATTTTTGATTCACTAAAAAGATTTGACGTATAAGAGTCATTTGTTTTTGAATTGAACTGTTCTGGTTATGTCATTATTTCACATTCAATATAAACAGCAAACTCAGATTCACAACTCTATTAAATATGACAAAAGATAAGATTCAGACCAAATTCTACAGACCAACACTCTTTACAGTACATACAACACACACCGCCTTGTTTTTCTAGACACATAGTTCCTTGTAAATCCCAATATCCACTACCACAAGTTTACATGTGAGATTATGAGTTGAACTTTGACACTGGTCTGGAGGTATAAAAGCAAACGACTACGTATATAGCAACGCACAGTGGTACAGTGCATCTCACAGGCAAAACAATACACAGGCAAAAATATAGCCTAAATGGAATGATCAATCTGTTGATGTGCTTTTTTTATAACATACAGCTTCCATAGTATGTGTTTCAGCTCCTACCTCCTCCAGTACTGAATACCAAGATAAAACACCCTAGTAGTCTAGTGTCAGCTGTCACATACATCATGCTTACACTCCAAACGGCACACTCTGGAAAATAGCTCTGAGAATCAACAGCATAACTCCTACCTGACAACACCTTAGCAGAGGTATACCTGCTGCGGCAAATGACTTTTGTTGCTTGAGGCGATGAGCAAAAAGACAACTATGACACATTCGTAAACAGACAAACAATCACACACACACACTTCAGCCACCTCTAATGTGATTGCATGGAAAGGTCAAAGTACATAATGAGGGTTATTTGATTACAATGCATATCAGTTACATCAGTGAAAGAGAGATGACAGATATAGGTGACTTTGATGTTAGAAACTTAGTCTTATCATCGTCAATCTCAAGACCAGTGACAAAACTCATATGGATGGGTCTGGTTCAAGATACCCATTTTATGTATATAGTACATGTTTGTTTTGCACCTTTACCGCGTCTCAGCCACATACTGACACTTCCTTGCAACAACTAAGTGCCAGCAGATTAACTGTCTAGATTAAGTGCTCTTCTTTTAATTAAATGAATTAGTGTGCAGTAGAGCGCTCAGTATTACAGAGATGAGAACACTGACGCAGTCATATTGATTGAATTTGTTCATCTTGTATAGGGGAAGGCGGCAGAGGAGAGGATGTATGGAAGTTGGAGCACTGTTTGCAGGTGTTTCCAATCTTGGATAAGACAATACGAGAGCCTGGTGTAGATTGACTTCAACAAGCAATATCCTCAAGGGGGCAGGCTCTATTGAGACGAGACAACCTTATACACCGCTTCAGCTAGTGCTGTGATCATCAAATGAAATACAGAGGATGTGCCTGAGAGATGTCGGGTCGAACGTATAGAGACTGTTCTCACACTTCCTGTCAGGTCTGTATTCACCTGCTGCTTCTGTAAAAATGCTCTGAAATACAGATTCAAAAGGGAGGTCAACACGACGACCAGACATAAACATGTTTCCTCAGAGTCACAGGTCATGGCTGTAGAATCGATTCTTGTGTGAGACAACAAGAAGTCTCCAGCGTACACTCCAAACGGCACAGAGCATGCCATGTTTTTTTTTTTTTTTTTATATTTATTTACTGGTTTTGGTTCCTTAACAGTTGAATTAACAACTTTTTTAGCTTCCAATACTTGTAAAGAATAATTATTTGTATTAAAGACTAAGTAAATATTTCAGTGTTATTATTAGCTAAAAATAAAGCTATTAAAATTGTTTTCATTCATGCAAATACTGGTGATATAAAACGAAATGCAAACACTAGAAAATTTTAAATGTTGCCTTGACAACTAACAAAAATAAAAAATACTAATAAATATGAATAAAAATTAACTAACAAAAATTGACATACTAATATTACTAAAACATTT